CTCCTTGCTCATCCGCAATCCTACATTCTGTCTTACCTCTAATTCTTTCAATTATAACCCTACCGTACACTTTCCCTGGTATACTCAGTAAGCTTATTCCTCTATAATTTTTACAGTCTCTTTTGTCCCCTTTCCCTTTATATAAAGGGACTATACATGCTCTCTGCCAATCCCTAGGTACCTTCCCCTCTTTCATACATTTATTAAAACAAAAGTACCAACCACTCCAACACTATATCCCCCCCTGCTTTTAACATTTCTGTCATGATCCCATCAGTTCCAGCTGCTTTAACCCCCTTTCATTTACGTAATGCCTCACGTACCCCCCCACACTTACATTCTGCTCTTCTTCACTCCTAAAAGATGGTATACCTCCCTGACCAGTGCATGAAATTACTGCCTCTGTTTCTTCCTTAACATTTAAAAGTTCCCAAAATATTCTCGCCATCTACCCAATACCTCCATCTCCCCATCTACTAACTCCCCTACTCTGTTTTTAACTGACAAATCCATATTTTCCCTAGGCTTTCTTAACTTGTTTAACTCACTCCAAAATTTTTTCTTATTTTCATTAAAATTTCTTGACAGTGCCTCTCCCACTCTATCATCTGCTCTCCTTTTGCACTCTCTCACCACTCTCTTTACCTTTCTTTTACTCTCCATATACTCTGCTCTTCTTATAACACTTCTGCTTTGTAAAAACCTCTCATAAGCTACCTTTTTCTCTTTTATCACACCCTTTACTTCATCATTCCACCAATCATATATATATATATATATATATATATATATATATATATATATATATATATAGGCAGCGGTGGTGGTGGTAGTAGTAGTAGTAGTGGAGGTGGAAGGAAGTAGTTTTCTTTTTTATATTTTATAATTTATAAATTTAATATATATTTATATTTATTTTCAAAATTTAATAATCATAAAAGAAACACGTCCAATGTTTCTACTCTGGCTGGGATTCGAACCCAGGCCCTCGCCGTGTGATGCGGGAGCGTTAACCACCAGGCCACCAGAGCCCACATGAGTGGAAGGAAGTAGTAGTGGGGAAAGTTGTAAGGAGGAGGAGGAGCCAGTCAAATACTAAGAAAGAAGAGCACTGCAATTTATTTATTTTTCCCACCGAGGGGGGAAAATAAATAAATAATTAATGAAGGAACAAATACACAAGGCAGAAGAAAGACAACCCAAAGGAGAAAAATCAAAGAGGAAAGGGGAAGAGGGAGAAGAAGAAAAAGATGGAATCAGGTTAGGTTACTGGTGTTCTAAAGTTTGGAGCATTTTACAATGTAGTGGGAAAGGAAGGCATCTACAGAGACAAAGCCAGGACTAAGATTCATACAAGGAAAGTTGTGTATTAGGGAGGATTCAATCAGACGGCAACTGTTAAAGTTGGAAGTAAGCAAGACAGTTTTAGCAGAAGACCAGTCAATAAGATGGCGGTGAACTCTGACATGACAGAAAAGAGCATTGTTTGTGTCAGTAAGCCTAACACTACTTTTGTGCTCCCTAAGTCTGTCAGAAAGAAATCGGCCAGTTTCTCCAAAGTATTGAAGAGGACAGGATGAACAAGAAATAGAGTAGACACCAGGAGCATCTGTAGAGGGAGGAGAGGTATGAACGAGATTAGTGCAAAGAGTGTTCGTCTGGCAGAAAGTAAGTTTGATGTCTAAGGAACGGAGAGTGTTGTTGAGATTAGAATGACCAGAAATGTAGGGAAGGCAGAGGACAGAAGAGTTCCCAGGAGTAGAGAGTTTGGGAGAGAAGAAATTACGTTTCGCAC